CCATGATTCTTTGAAATTTCATTAATATTTGAAAATAATGAATACATCTTCAGAATCTTAAAATTTATATAGAATTTTATTGAAAGGAAAAAATAAATTGTTTCTTTTTGAATAGATGTCATATTGCATTCCACTTTTTCTTTGGAGCTATTATACAAGATATATTCTTCAACTTTTTCTATATATATACGACATGCCGTATACGGCATAACTATTTTCTCAAGAATTTATTATCTCGATAAAAATGGCAATCGCCAAACAGTTGATTTAACCAATTCAAATGCCATTTATGGTTATGTACATATATTAGAGTATGGAAAAGGAATTGAACGAAATTATTCAGAAGCAATCAAATATTATAAAATGTCAATTGATTTAGGAAATTCAGATGCAATGTTTTGTTATGCAAATATGTTCAAAGATGGCGAAGGAATTGAACGAAATTATTCAAAAGCAATCAAATATTATAAAATGGCAGCAGATAAAGGATATTCGAGAGCATTAGCTAAATACAATACTATTTTAGAATCTCTGCCCATAAATGATTGACTTCAAACAATGGAACCAACATTGTTTTGTTTGTCCAATTACAAATCATTCGTTCCACTAAGATAATGATGGTGTACAAATAAGATTTTCTTAATTGATCACATGGAAGGACAAAAATGACAATGAATCTGTGTGAAATTCGTTTTTCCAAAAAGAAAGAAAAGTTATTCTTATTATATCATTCGTATTATGATGAGTACTCACTAAACTCTAAACTAACTGTTTGCGAAAACAACATTCCTCAAAGATATTTTAAAATGTTTCCACTAAACAACTAGGGATTCCAAATTGAACTTTAAGAGTTTACATCCCATCAATTCACTTTTTAGAAAACCCGACTAAAGGCTAACGTGAAAACATTTTAGTATATTCCTAGTTTTTATAGAGTGTAAAATCAATAAAAAGTAGGGTAAGTAGTGTAATGGTTAGCATTATTGATTGTGGCTCAATAGACCCGTGTTCGATTCACGGCTTACCCAAACTTTTTGCTTTTTTTTTTTGGAAATAAATATCGAATGTCAAAGAACATCTTGGGAGAGATACTGAAAGATGGTGGCATCACAGATGAAATCAAACACATATCAGAATGTGGTGGAGGTGATATTTCTTCGGCCTACCAAGTTCAAACCGCTAAAGAAACATATTTTATTAAAACAAACAGTCCTTCTTTCATTGACAACTTCCGTGCTGAATGCGCCGGCTTAGAACACATCAAAAATACAAACACAGTCCTTTGCCCCACTCCAATTAAAGCAGGAGTATTAAATAAATTATCATATCTAATAATGACTTGCATTCCGAACCTCAGAAGCGGCACAGCCGATCTCGGCGAGCCCCTGGCACGAATGCATAAAGCAGGGCAAGCTCAGCAATTTGGATTTCCAATCACAACATTTTGCGGATCAACCGTTTTGGATAACACAATGACTGATGAGCCATGGAGTGAATGGTTTGCTCGTCATAGAATATCCTTTGTTCTTAATCAAATTGGCCCCAAAAGAATCACCAAAAGGCCAGTTAAAGAAGTTGAAGACAAAATCATCGAAATTTTGAGGCCTCACGACAATGAAGTGAAACCAACTTTAGTTCATGGCGACCTCTGGAGTGGAAATTGCGGTACATCACAAGGAACACCATGTATTTATGATCCAGCATGCTATTATGGAGATGGCGAAGTAGACCTAGCAATGAGTGAGCTTTTTGGAAGCTTCGGGCGTAAGTTTTTCGAAAATTATGAGAAAGTGCTCAAAATTCATGATGGTTATCAAACTAGAAAGAGAATTTATAACCTTTACCATATTTTGAATCATGCATATATGTTTGGAGGAGGATATGAAACCGAGGCATCTTCAATAATTGAAAGTTTATTTAGATAAAATGAAAATAAATCAATAAAAAGGTAGAAAAGGGAGATTTTTCGATTTTTTTTTAAAAAAATTAATTATCATACATTGGATAAATGTTTGTAAAGGTTTACAAAATGATACTTTTGGCTGTTAATGAAATTCAAGGAACTTTTCTATGTTAAAAACATGAAAAAAATTCGAAAGATGTACTAAAGTTCTTGTCACTCGTAATTTGTATCCCAACTAGGACGGTTAGATCTTTTAGTTCTCATGTTTTAATTAATTATAAAGGCTTTGGTGTCTGGTGGTTTGAAATCTCCATGGAAAAAAACATAATTTATTAGGATTATATCGTGAAAAGTACACTTATATTTTACTTCTTGTATAGATCTCTAATCATATTTTTGCATGCTTTCTCGAAGTCAAGTCATATTACCAGAAAATACAAGAACCTCAACATACAACAGCTAAAAATACAACTACGGCTTGGTTGAAAAACATTTCAAGCTCAGGAAAAGCATATTCAAAGAAAAGACATCTAAGAAATGATAATAAACCAGTTCTCCAACACACAAATGTTGATGTCGCATTTTCCCCAACTCTAAAGTTTTACCAATAATTTCAAGCAGAATATTCGGAATTTGTAAAATACTCATATGACAGACCATCATCAAATCTTAACAGCAAAATAGCAGGGAAATTTCAGTAGTAGGGTTTCCATATAACATAGTTTTTTCGCTGAATTATTTGCTTCCAACATTGATACTTTTCTGGAGGTACTAACATTCAATCATCTTACATTTTTATATGATAAAAAACTCATTTATGTATTTATTTATAAGGACATGTAGAATTTCATATTAATAACGATAATATAATTGATGACTTTGTGACAAAATTATGGAAGTCAAAGCAATATACGAATAATGTCTTCAAATCATCAATCTTTTCACAGTCTTTTAATGATGAACTCATATTTGAATATCCTAAAAGACATTTATATGTAATTCAAATGACAGTTTCTCAAAAATATACGTTTGTTGGTGATGAACATGAAAATATATAAGATTTATTTAAAAAACAAAGAGTGAGAATCACCAAAATAATCTATTTTCACTTACCAAATTATCATCTCAACGAAAAAAGAGGCTTTTTAACAGGAAAATGTAAAAAATCTGCATTTAAATGCATTCAAACGTATAAGAATTTTGAAATTTGTTATGCAACATTAATTATCAAGTCTATAGCTAAAATAAGAAGATTTTATAAGAGATCCAGAATAAAGACCTTGATGATGACTAAAATCAAGAATTTTTTAAGTGTATGAGGATTCTTATTTTCCCTATTAGTGCATTAAAGTAAATATTAAAAAAAATCAAAATATTCATCTTGCGTGACTTTTTTTTAGAAATGATATCTTGTGTCTAAAATGCCTAAAAAGTCAGACTTAGACATACTTCATTTTAGATTATAGATTTTCATTTAAATAAAGGAGAAGCATTCTTATAATTCATATTTTCACTATTCACAATTTATATCAGTTCAAATAAGTTTTTTTTTTTTTTTTTTTTTTTTTTTTTTTTTTTGTAATCTAATGTGATGATATTTTAATTTACACTTTCCTCAGTCATAAAATCTGTAAAATCGATTTATCTAAGTAATTATATGATGATAACATCATCTTCACAATTTCTATAACATTTTACCTCAAGAAAGGCGCTTTTAATGAATGTACCAAAACATGTAAATTGACAAGAATTTCAGATATTTGTGATAATATGTGTAGATGATGCGATTATCATTGAATCCAACCTTTTCAAATATTTGTGATAATTTTTCAATGAATGCAAAACATAATAACAATTTTATCTTCATTTTTACGAGAGATACCACAAAATCAGCAAGCTTAAAATATCTTTATAGTAATTATACATATTGTAGTATGTTAATTCTCTACAAAAGTTGGAATTCATGATTATTTTAGCATTTTATTTATTCCTCTCAATCATCTAAAATTTCGCATCCATTGAATTTTATACGTACGCATTTTATCACCAAAATGAATGACACTTTCGCAAGTCCAACTCCACCATTTGTTTGTCCGTATACAATTAACGACTATACACTTGTTCAAATTTTAGGAAGTGGAGCTTTTAGTGTTGTATACAAAGCCAAAAAAAACAGTACATCTAATTTTTTTGCGATGAAAATCATTCCCAAAAAAATGTTAATTGATGAAAAAGATCAAAAACATTTACAACGAGAACTAGATACAATGGTATTATTGAAACATGAAAATATTGTTCAATTGTATGAATTTTTTGTTGATTTAGAAAACTTTTATTTAGTCATAGATTATTGTAATGGAGGTTCCCTACTTGATGTTTTGATGACCAAACAGAAGATTAAGGAAACACAAGTTGCAACAATCTTCAAACAGATTGTCAATGCTGTTGATTTTTGTCATCAACATGATGTAGCTCATCGTGATTTAAAACCTCCAAATATATTAGTTACAGTTTTCCCAAATATTAAACTTGCAGATTTTGGCTTATGTGGATTTATTGTCAATGATGGAAAGTTGAATACTTTCTGTGGTTCACCAAGTTATACTGCTCCAGAATGTCTTAAAATGACAAAATATGATGGTAAAAAAAGTGATATATGGAGCCTTGGTGTTATTCTTTATGAATTAGCAACATACGAGCATCCATGGGTTACTGGAAATGTTCCGAAAATGATTGAACAAATTCAAAAAGCCAGATACACAATTCCTAACACAGTTTCACCTGCTTGTGCAGATTTAATAAAGCAAATTTTAAAAGTGAATCCAAATGAAAGAATATCTACAGAAAATATTCTGAACCATCCTTGGTTAAATTTAGCTACAGTTCGAAGAAGATCAGAAAGTGGATCTTCTTTACCACCTTTGAATAGAATTTCTGTACCGGCAATTGCAAATTGTCATGAAAGAGAAAAAGAACCAAAAGATCATGGTATTGCTTCTCCTTTTATTCTATTAAATTATGTTTCTCCAAAAACATCGAATACACCAATTCCGTCAGTTACAAGATCACGGTCAAGCCAATTTCATAATAGAACAAGACAATCTTTTCCAGGTGGAATGAAATCTATTGTGAAAAGCAATAATTTTAATGCAACAGGAATTCTTCCAAGGAAACCTTTCGGGCTTCCCATACCAAAGCGTGTTGATTAAATTGTTATTAATAGTACTAATTTTGTGATTATAATTTAATCTTGTTTTATTTATATTACCAACAAATCGAGGAAACAACATGATGTTGTTCCATAACATCAAAAATATGATTTTTTAATCATTTGTCAATAAATATTGTTACATCAAAAGACTCCAACATCGAGAAATTCTAATATTGAAAGCAACTATCATCAAATATAAGTTGAATCTCTTTCCAAAACGATTTGTGGAATAATGTGAATAACTCTAAAATAACTATTAATCAACTCAAAATTATAAATTATAATTCTCTCGTTTAGAAATAATAAAAACAAATTTACAATTTCATTTGAAATATATGATTTAGCCATACAAAAGCTCAGTCCAATTGTATAAATATATGATCTATTTGATGAGAGGTATATAATAATAACAATAATCAATATTTATTCATTTCAACATTGGCTCTGTTGTTTTCTGCACAATTGTGAACATCGAATTATCGAGCATGATGAGTGGAACGTTATGCCAGAAATCTCTCAGTATTTTTGGTATTGGTGCATTCACAAATGGAGTTGATGCAATAGTTGCCCCAAAACTACCAATTGTTATTGCTGAAGTTGATCTTGCAAATTCACCACCCATTTTTTCATTTTTAGGCAAGTAGTGGTAGGCCAATCCGGCGCATGTGTTAAATCCTATTGCATGAGAAGTTGCCTTTCCGAGGCCAGTAAAGTATCCTTTATATGATAATTTATTATTATGATATTTATTCTGAAGCGGGACTTGAATTGCTCGATTTGCACATGCTGTTATTGCACTTGTGGCGATTGTCCAAGGTACCCACCTTTTGAGGGTTCGAAGATCTGGTTTTATTGATATTCTCAATAGCGAGTCGACAAGCCCAAACGATGACAGTTCGAGTCCGGTATCTAGC